CCATCACCCTCACCACCTTCACCCTCACCATCGTCCTCCTCACCAGCACCACTATCATTATCCTCATCCTCACCACCATCACCCTCACCACCATCCTCCTCACCACCATCCTCCTCACCACCATCACCCTCACCACCATCCTCCTCATCACCACCACCCTCACCACCATCACCCTCACAACCATCACTTTCACTACCATCATGCTCACAACCATCACCCTCACCACCATCATGCTCACAACCATCACCCTCACCAACGTCACCATTACCACCTTCACCTTCACCACCATCCTCCTCACCACCATCACACTCACTACCATCCTCCTCACCATCATGCTCACCACCATCATCCTCACTACCATCACCCTCACCATCATCCTCACCATCATCAACTCACCACATCACCCTCACCACTATCACCCTCACCACCGTCACCTTCACCACCATCATGCCCACCACCATCGCCCTCACCAAATCACTCTCACCACATCACCCTCACCACCATCACCCTCACCATATCACCTTCACCACATGACCCACACCACCATCATCCTCACCACCGTCATCCTCACCACATCACCCTCACCATCACCCTCACCACCATCATGCCCACCACCGTCATCCTCACCACCATCACCCTCACCACGATCACCCTTACCACTATCACCCTCACCCCCATCACCCTTACCTCCTTCACCCTTACCAACCTCATCCTCACAATCATCACTCTCACCACCATCATGCTCACCATCATCCTCACCAGCATCATGCTTACCACCCTCATCACCATCATCACCTTCACCACCATCATCCTCATCCCTGCCATCATCACCCTCCCCTTCATCACTGTCTTCACAGTATTCCTTCTCCCCCATCACCATCCTCACCATCACCATTGTTGTCACTGTGGCCAGCACTGAAGAGAAAGAAGTCGTGCCCTCACTGACCACCATCCCACCTGTACATACATGCGTGTTCTCAATTGTGCAGAGATACTGGGAGCATGGCTGATGGGGTGCTCACCAGCATCTCTTTGCCTTTTGTGGGAAGGTGGAGGACTCCTGCTGGAACATGCCTGGGCCACTGAGATGTCCTGGTCACTGGATTTGAGTTGGAGTCATTTATGTCATCCCTTCTGGCTGAACCAAGTAAAAGCCCAAACATGAATCTTCAGTTTTTTAATCTTGGTCACAGCAGCCAAGAAGGCCCTACAGTCTGGAGGCTGCTGCTGTAAGGTCAGGGGCATCTGCTAGCCTGAGATCTCAGGGACTTTATGACAGCCATGCTGATTCGCATTCCATATTCAGCTAAACACAAAACAGATGTTTGTGGTGTAAAGTCATTAGGACACAGGAGCTGTTATCACAGCACAGCCAAGCTCAGGGGTCCTCAGTCTGGGAACCACCTGCACTTTTTAGAAATTCAGATTCTCAGGCTTCATGTCCTACACAGTGAATGAGAGACTGGAGGTGGTG